GAGCCTGACAAAATGGGGTTGATGGTCTTTCCTACTTTGTTGGTTGTTGTATGAGTTACACTAGGCACTATCACCTGTTCAGACTAGTATCTGAGTAAATACTACATAAATGTTTGGTAGGGACACAGACAGAGAGAAGGAAGTAGTTGCTTTATGAATTGCGCCAGTTATGTGAAGCACAGAAAGCAGAGAGCAAATGAAAGAGCTGAGACTTGTGTCCTGTTTGATGCTTTACCTCCTGAGTAGAACTGCTTCATCAAAATAAAAATATACACATACACACAAGTATCGCTCGCTCTTCTCTCTCTGCCTACTTTCTGTACCTCTCTCCCCCATGAGCACAACACTGAGTTAGCGTGACTTAAGGACATGCATTCGCTGTCAGCCACCCACACATGATAGCTGTCTGCCCCTGGGGCCGGGGGCCCGCTTGTGTCTAGTCCCACAGCCCGTAGTAAGGAAATCCACCCAATAAATAAATTTCCACTGCCTCTGGATTTTTCTCTTTCGCTTGTTTCTTTGAATCAGGACCCAAATAAGATCTACATATTAGAAATTTTAAGACCCACATTATCCAGCAGCGAAGAGGGACCCCACCATTCTTTCCCGAGAATTTCCAAAACTGGGTATGTTTCCTACTTCCAACGCGAACACACAATGCAGAGCTCCTTCTCTTCCAGAAGATGGGCCGCTGTTTTAACATGACTCAGAAAAAATGGGCATTTATGAGGAAAATGAAACGTATTATGCTGAGAGTGGCCCACAACGCTTTCACTTGCTTTGGGTCCCAGGGCGGGGTGCAGACAGCTCACTCTATCAGCTCTGCCAATCTTGGGCCCTGGCTTCACCCAGCCATCTGTTCCCTCCTCCTTCCTTCTACAGGGCTGCTGGGAGATAATCACAGAAGTAGGCTGTTTATATGCACCACAAACACAGGCCATCAGCTGGGGCGTCCCTGTTCATGCCGAGTCGATTCCCTGTGGGTTTCAGCAAAGCAGCTGCTGCTGCCCCCTCCGCTCCCCCACACGCCCCCAGAACCTGCCTGGCCTCCCTTGCACATGCCTTCACACCCACGCAGCACCAGACCCGCAGCCCCCACCAAGAACCTTCTCGACTTTTCTCCTTTCTCCCTTCACTTTCCTCTCACTTTTTACTCTGGTCTCAGAGCAATAAATATGCATCTTATGGCAATCTATGTCTATAAACACAGAGTCCCTGAAAACAAGGTCACTGATTATGTCCACAATGGCTGTCTCTGAGAGGCGGGCATGTAGGTGATTTGAACCTTATTATTCTTACTTTCCTGTCTGCTTTCACTGTGTTCACTGAAATGGCCCTAAAGCCATTTAAAAATGTATGGGGTGCTCAGTAAAATACATGTGATCCATGGGGAGAGGGACCCCTCCTATTTCCCCATATGTCTCCATTATGCTTTGTAATAGGCAGAATAATGGAGCCCAAAGATTTCCATTTCATCGTTCTTGAACCTGCGACTAGGTCACCTTACAACAGCAGAGACTGAAAAGATGTGGTTGAATGAAGGGTCTCCATACAGGGAACCTGCTAGGTCCATAGCAGCCACTGCTTACCACTTGGGAAGTGGCACTTGGCCGTGGCCTGTCCCTGTCCCTGATCCCACCGCAGGGGCCTCATTTCTCTGCATCTTCCGGCCACCACACTTCATAACGAGGAAACGGAGGCTTACAGAGCGTGCTCTGGTCCTTTAAAGTAAGCCCACACATGCTTTGCTACTTTTCCCTACTGAAGGAAGAGCCTAGTCCCTCAGCCTTGGAATGTGGTGGGTGTGGAGGGGCTCAAGTCCCTCACGGAAGAGGCCAGTCATCACTCTTGAGGACACGTAAGCAGCCCGAGTAAAGGCCTTCAGGCGACGGCCAGCACCCCGCGAGTCATCTGAAAGGGCTCCTCCAGGCTCCAGCAGCCTGCAGTCCCTGCCAGTCTTCACAGTGACACAGAAAAGTCTCTGAGTCAGAAGCACCAGGCTGAGCTGCTCCGAATTCCTGACCCTCAGACACAGATAGTAAGGGTTTATCTTTTAAACCCCTCACTTGTGGGCTAATTTGTTCCACGGTAGTAGATAACGAAAACATTCAAGGTCATATGACCAGTAAGTGGGGGAGTGGAAATCTGAAAGTTCTTGGGTCCCTAAAACCGATGCGTAGTCCAAAGCTACCAGCAGTTGTGATTTATATTTGTTTCTTTAGAAAACCTCCACAGGGTCTCTCTTTCCAAATGCGTCTTCTTCCAGCCTGTACCTGAACCCCACTCCAAATGCCCATTCACCCTGCCCCACAACACTATTCCCTGACTGACTTCCCTTTTACTTTATCAGCTTTAGGCTCTCAGATTTTGCACCTACACCCTACTGTTGTCAAGAAGATGAAATGAGATAATGTGTATAAGCAGTTGCAAGTAGTGGCCCATTGCTGTTACTTATCACACTAGTTACCTCCCCGGGACGTCACGCTCCTGCCCCTGGACCAGGACTCAGCCCCGGCTGTACAAGCCAGGCGCCTCTGCCCTGAATGGACAGGTCTGACTGGTCAGTCGGGGGGTGTGGGTGGAGGGGGCAGTCAGATGACTTTAAAGTTCAACCAGGGAAGAAAAACACTAGACTGGCTCAGAGATTCTCAACTAGGGTGATTTTGAGACCTTTCTCATCCTCTTGAGTTTCCCAGTGCTGTCCCTGCAGTGAGGGGAGGCTAGCTTCCGGCTAAGCACCCTGCAGGGCGCAGGCCTGCCCCACAACCAAGATGGAGCCAGGGTTGTCAACAATGACACTCCTGGGTAAGAGGCTGTTTCCCAGCTGGGGCCCTTGCTCTCCTTAAGATGTTGCCTCTCTGCCGCTTCACGCTCCAGAATACCCCTGGACACAACACTGCAGGACACCTGAGCTCTGGTCTCTCAAGATCAAATCTGGGCATCACCCAGTTTGCCATTGCCCAACTGGGCTGGCTCCAGCCCCATGAGGATGGCCCGCAGATGGTCCTGCGTTTCACTGATTCCCTTCAGCTATTTGCTAACAACTGTTTTACAACCCTCACTATCGAAATTCAGCCAGCTGTAAACACGTCTTGCTCACCCAAGGGCTCACGCCACTCTCGATTCACCTGTGTTTTCTCCACACTTCTGAGCTGTGTCACACATCGCCAGTGAGCAAACGATATTTATTGCAGCCAATTCGATTCATAACATTTTAATTTTGGGCACACTTCTGGGCATCCCTTTGAAAGGGAATGGAAGCAGCGAATACAAATGCTGGTTAAGGCAAGAACTCTCGTGTGCCGAGCCCTGCGGAGTTCAATGCAAGGGTCACGTCTCGCAGCTCCCAGTGCATTAGCTGCCTGGTCACAGGAAGTTAGTAACTATTCTAAATGGAGAGAGCACGCACAAATGACGAGGGATTTGAGAGGAATTTCATTTAGAGACGTTCTTATATTTTAAAGGTTCTTTTCATTGATTATTGTCAGTAGAAAATGTTTATTTTTCAAGACAAAGTGGCAGTTTGGAGAATGATACCAAAAAGACTTTTTTAGCAAAGGAAATGTGGATCTTTCTTACATTAATCACCTCTGGTCAGTAAATTATAGGCTTGCCATTTTCACAGTGGACAAAGTTAGGCTTAGGTTTAGACACGACATAAGAAACAATACTTCTAAACCTAAGCCAGACTATGATTGCATAGTCTCAGAGTAAAACAAACAAACAGATAATACGTAGGGGATTTTCAGTTCTCTAAATTGACAAAGTCAGCCAAGAGTCTATTCAAGTTGGCATTCTCCAAAAGTGCAGAGTGACATAAGAGATGCAACATTCAAGAGCTCAGGGTCTAATTCAAAGCCCTCCCCCTACCATGGGGCTTTACACAACCTCACTTGATTTCTAGTGTCTCGGTGTCCTGCCCTGTTCTTGCAAAGGGCCGATGTGAAAGCATCTCAAAGCAGCAAGTCAAATACATATATATACTTTCCTGTAGACAGAGTTACCTTCTACATATGACCTGAAATGGCAGACGAGCTTAAATGTCATCTGCTAAGTAAGATCGCTGCTACCCAGCCTACATCGAATTAAACTCCTGACCTCTCTGTCCTCCTCTGCTCTGTTTTTCCCTAGAGTGATGGTTTGTTTGCTTATTGTCTGTCACCACCCACTGGAATATAAGCTTCATGAAGGCAGGAATTTTCTGGCTACTTTGTTCACTTCTTTATCTCTAACACCCAGGATGATGTTTGCCACATAGAAGTATGTGTTAGATATTTCCTATATGAAGGAAAGCATTAAGCAAATCTAGAAATGAAATATACTATAAAACCGTCGAAAGACATGAATTGGGTAAATGGAGTCAATGTGGCTAGATCTTAAAAGCATGTATTTGAATCAAATAAAAAGAAGTTACAGAAAAATGCATACATTTCTTTGTTGGTAAAATGGAGCTGATAATATTGTTATCAGGATCAAGTTAGTTTGCTTGTGCTAAATCCTGAAGGAAGTAATAGACATAAGCTCCTAACGAATGTTAGTTATCACCTTCATAGTTATTATTGCTATTTCACTGAGCAAGAGGGGGAGCAGCAGGTATCGAACTCAGGTCTTAGCAGTGATAGTGCTGAGACCCAACTCCTTGGCTACCAGTGAGGCTCTCCTAATATTTTAAATGTAGAGTTGCTGCATATAAATAAAAATTAACATTTATAAAAACTGAGTTATATTACCTGAGACATAATGATTATGGGAGAAAGAGAAAAGGAGAGAGAGAGAAAGAGATAAGAGAAGAGAGAGATGAATTACTTAGGATAAGAACTTTTTTAAGTTTTCTGTTTTACTTCTAAAGTGCTTCTTGAATAATCACCACATGGACAGGATTCCAGTTAAGAGTTGACCCGAGTCTTGCATGAGTTGGTTCTCTTAATTAGAAGAAATCTATCATTAATACAATCTTAAAATCAAGAATAAATTCTTTAAAGCCTTGAGTCAGTACTTACTGACACTTCAGCCACTGCTCCACAAAGGGAATGGAGAAGAATTCTGTGAATAGCTCCCCTATCCTCCTTGGATTTTGACTGGTCACAGATGCCATGTTTGATTGACAAGAAAACAATAAAGAAGAATTCAAGTCAATTACTGATTGCAAATTACAACTACTGAATCCTCAAAGCCATTGAATATTTAAAGGCATGAAAAACTTACTTGTATAACCACTCAGTCAGAAAATCACAGGCGATGAATTTAGTTCGTTTCCTCTAAAGAGAGAAAAGAAATTAAATTATATTCTTTGCCCACTTGTCCAAGTAGGACAAAATAAAAGAGGTTAATTAACTGCTGTGTTAGATAAAATATGCACAAGTCCTTCACGAGGGTTATAAACACATCAACAAACAGTAACTCAGGCAACATAAAAAAACCTGAAAACATTTTCCATTCACTTGTGGATAAGCATATTTTCTGACAGCAGGGACTAATGAAAGCACATGTGGCAGGGAGTTTATTGCATGCTTTTGGAATTGTCTTGCAAAGGTTTAACTTACATGACCTTTACTCTTAACTTATTGCTTCTCCAATCACTCCAGCCCTCTGACCAATAGTATCTGCATTCACAGTGCCACCTTCTGACATGAAGCCGAACACCTGGGTGCCAATCACCAGACCGGCTGAGCTCACCAGCTGTCTACCGATGACCACTTCTTTCTCATTAGAGAAGTCTGGCTGACAACCATAAGAAAACAGATGTTTGTCAGTCTTCCCTGTAGCGAGGGGCAGCCATAGACACAATTGGAGACAAAGGTGGACAAGTCCTGTGGGTTTCTGTGAACATCCTGGAGAATGGGGGAGACAACACACCGGGAACAGCAGTAGGGTGCACTTTGCAAGGCAGCTCCATTTAAAGTCTCATATAACCCAAAACCACCAGTTAACTTCTAGATTGCAGTTATGGAAACTAAGAGCTTTAAGGTCTTTGTCTTTTCTTTTAAAATAACAAGGGAGCCTCTCTGGTGGTGCAAGGGTTAAAGGTACCACTGTGAACGGATCCACAGGCACTCCAGCATGAGTTCGATCCCCAGCCAGGGAGTGACCTACATGGCACAGCAGACTTCTCCTGTCTCCCCGCTGGTCCTCAGCAGTGGATTTCTGTAGATCACCTGTTCTGCTCCCTACTCTGTCTCTGGTGAATCCTCTCACCCTCCATACCTCTGACCTATACCCAGGTTGTTTAAAATAACAGGGGCTCAGAGCCAAATGTTGGTTATCATGGAAAGAGATCCTACCCAAGAATGAAGGTAAAACAGAGTCTACCAGAAATTCTCTGTCCCTCCACTGTGCTCTGTGTCCCAGATTGCTGGTTTTTTGGTTCATGTCAACTAGGCTCCCTTATTCTCTAGTTGGGCCCAGCAAATGGCAGGTGCCAGAAAAGAAGCAGACAGGGAAGAGAGAAAGGCAGGGTGTTATGGGTTGAATTATGTGTCCCCTACCCCCAGTGAAGAGGTTGAAGTTCTAATCCACAGTACAGTCAGACACCAGTCAATGACGCGTCCGCCAATGATGGAGCGCATTTGATGGGGTGGTCCCCACAGCCTGTATCAGGGAGCCCAGGAGTAGGCTGTGTCACCCAGGTTTGGGTAAGTGCCTTCTATGGCAGCTGCAGAATGATGAATTATCTAAGGACATATCCCAGTTATTAAGCAACACACGACTGTACTTTAGAATGTGAGCTTATTTGGATACAGGATTATTAAAATACAACTAGATAAGCCCAACCACTCCTGAAAGACAGCCGCTCCAATACAGATGAATAAATCTGTGGTTCTATGACAAGGATGAAGGGGGATGATATTGTGTAGACCAGCCACAGCCAATGCCTTGTGGCATATACTAGATCATCGGACTAGACTCTGGACAGAGCTACACTGGAGGTCAAAATCCCCCAAAGTGTTCATGTACATAACTCAATATAGTCTCTTTTTGGGTTTAACAAGTTTGAGTGGAGTTACTTATTGCTTAAAATGAAAGCATTTTCATTACTTTTCCTTGTTCTCCAGTTGGCCAATGCCCACTTCTTCCATGTGCTCATGGAAAGACTTTCTAGCCATTCTCACTCTCTTTGGTAAGAGCTTAGGATCAGGGCTCCCCCAGGTCTCTGTGAACCCTGTCATGGCACTTCAGATAGAATTGTGACATACCTATCAGCCCACACCTCCACCTCTCCCACTCTCTCTACCTTCTTTCTCTTTCTAGTCTCCTTCTTTATATTCCAAGTGCTTCACTGCATGTCTTGCACAGAGGAGCATTTGGGTAAGTGGTAAGTAAATGAATGAATGAATTCACTATGCAATTCTCAAGCAACAAAGCAAGAAAAAAATCCATGTGCAGGAATATAGATGTTTCAGAGTAGGGGTTGCTAACCAAATTTTGGACAACTTCTCTTCACCTTCTTCCCACAATATTTTATCATGATAATTCTTCCATTCCCTATTTCTTTTTACCCTTTTGTTTTGAAGCAGTGAACATGGCTTTATAATCTCACACAGAGCTGAAAAGATTGTTGTGAAATTGACTCTCAGCAAGAAAGAAGGCGTTACTGGAAATATTTCTCCTGAAAGCTTTATTGTAGCTACAATAAAATGATGTCTGAGTGGCTGGGGGAATTGTTTGCAGTCTTTACCTCATTGCTGATAGCCTTTTTCTTTTTTAAGACTTATTTATTTGTGCATACAGAACTGGGGTACAGGCCAGAGGTACAGGGGCGGTGAGAGGATTCCCCAGAGATAGAGTGGGGAGCAGAACAGGCAGATCGACGAAGTACACTGCTGAGGGGAGCAGCGGGCGGGCCAGGAGAGGTCTGCCGCTCCACGTGGGGATCGAACTCATGCTGAAGTGGCTTTAGCTTCTTAGTGCCACACTTTAACCATCTGCGCCACCAGGGAGGGCCCTGCTGATAGCTTTTTATTTAAAAAAAAACCTGAATTGCTGCTGGCCAAGGAAATAAAATGAAATGTACCTGACCACTTAGTGGTCAAGTCCCGCAACAGGAAAGCGTCCATTCAAAATGTCACCAAAAAAAACAAAACAAAACAAAAAAAAAAAAAAAAAAACTTGTACAACAATGCAAATATGTATCTAGCATGAATAGCCTGATAATAACTAAAACAATCCAGCAATTGTCGCTCTCTCACTGCACAAAAGATGCTTTGTCCTCGAGGCATTTACCGCACTGGGCTGGTGGGAAAGATTCCTTCCCCAAAGGGAATGCAGCTTGACTTTATTAAATAGACTTTTCAGATCGCCAAATGGCCTGATGTATGAAGGTCAAGCAGACAGAGTTAGTCACTTCTGAGGCAAAGATACAAAGTGGGAGAGACTCTCTCCTTCCGTCCTGGAGCAGCGTGGATGTGCTGCGTCCTCAGGCGCAGAGAACAGAGGGACACTGTTCAGCTGTTGTCCAGTTCAAAAATTATCTGAAAGGGAGCTGAAAGAGACAAGAAAAGTGGTGGGGAGGGAAGAGGTAAGAGAGGAAGGAACAGGAAAAAAATTGAAGAGCAAGATTACAAAAGTGGGCAGGAGCCGCGGGCCTACGTAATATGGATAAAAACAAACTTCATGTTCGCTCTGTGAGCGTGAAAACACACAAGATTTGGCGAGCGGAGGCAACAGTTAAAACACCCTCCAACAAGGGCAAAGATAGTTTTTTTTTTTGAATCCAGAATTAAAAGGACAAAGACTAAGTCAAGGAACAAGACATCACCAATCCACTCAGAAACACCAGACGGAAGGAATGCAGAGATAGGTGGGGAAGTGAAGGAGAACAGTAACTGCAGGGCACGGTCTGATGGGTGGGTGTGACGTCTCGGGCCTTTCAGTCCTTCCACACGCGGGCAACATTTTTCGTAACATTTGGTAGGGGACCAGGCCTCAAAGAGAACAGAGGCACAGACGTGTAGGTGCTGCAGTTTACACATCAGAGGCAGACGATTCCTGGATGCATGTCTAGGAGGACTGAGGCTGAGGAGAGGAACAACCCACGGACCCGTGGTGCCTGGCACTGCCCCCAGAGGCCCAGAGCACAGGCCGCGAGGTCAGTGGCACGAGGGTGGCCGGCCGGCCGGCTGGCACTGTGCTGGCTGAGGCTCTGGGCTTGCCAGGATACAAATATGCTCACGTTACCTTGGTTACTGGGTGTGTGTGTGTCTGTTTTCTGTCAGTTTAGGGTACATTTTGCTACAACTACCCCTCCCCAAAGCTGAGCCGCTCGTGTCGTCACCCGTTTCTCTCTCAGGTAGCATCGACATTTCAGTCAGCCGTGGCTCTGCCCGCGTTGGCCTCGTCCGGGACGTGACAGAGCAGGCTGAGCTCTCTGGGACAGCGCTAGTGATGCTGGCAGATGGACATGACATGGGGAGCCAGGGTTTGATCCTGGCTCCAGGACATCACGTCCATTCATTCTGTGACCCAAGCAGTCACCTGGTCAAGCGACCCTTACAGGGAGACCACAGACGCTTTTCCACAGAAATGGCCAGTGTGAGGGCAGGAGGAGGGCCCCGGCCTGTGGGCTGGGCAGGGCCCAGGAGGAAGTGGCACAAGCTTGCCAGCTGCTTAGGGCACACTTTCGGTTCTGGTTCTTGGAGAACTCAGCTCCTGGGGTTTGGCGTCTGCCTCAACTCTCCACTACTTTTTCTGGTGGTGCTGCTCTCTCTCTCTCTCTCAATTGCTTCTTCCTCTTCCTCTCTCTGCCCCAAGGTGGGGGAACTCACAGTTCTTGGGTCTTCCTATCTCTGGCCTCGTTCCCCTTCTACCCACACAGAAGTCTGTCCCTTCTCTTCATCGTCATCTCACCTCCCACCTCCCCAGGTGGGAGAATCTGACTGGGTGACTCGGGCTCTCCGGACCCACTGTCCCTGCTGGGCGGAGTGATTGCACCAGGTCATTTCTTAGCCACCTGCCGTCCCAAGTGGCTGCCTCAAGGCGTGACGCATTTCCCTGCTTCAGTCATTTGTGGCCAGGGTAAGGGGGACAAGGACGAAGCAGGGACAAAGGGCTGCAGTCCAGGCACTAGACTCTAGGAATGTCTTCACCTCCACCCCCCACAGATACTCTGCACGACCATCTCCCAGATCCCCGAGACCCCACCCCAGGCCACCCCAGGTGGATCAAAACCAACACTCTTCCCAGACACTCGGGCTGTAACCAGATGCTACCACACTTATCACAGCAAACTTCAAACAGAGGTTGATGTTTTTCTTCTATGGCATTAGAATTTCATTAGAGGAAAAGATATTCTTCTGAAAGAAGTTCAAAACATGTGCGCATAACAGAGAATGTGGACCAAGACGCCCAGAATGAGCCACAAGGTCATTTCCAAAAGTGTTCTTGATCAAAGGAATAATGCTAAAGTAATTCTGCCACACCTTTCCTGAGAAAATCTATTTTCTCCACTCCTTAGAGATTTTTTTCAAACAAAAGCTGATAGTATTTCTAATTTCCCTTATTGGTCAAGGACAGGAAGTGGGGTTCTTCCCTCTCTGACTAGGGTCCTGGCACTCTTTGAAATGATATTAAGTATTTAAATTTTTAAAAAAGGTATATCTTAAAAATCATCAACAGTAAATACCTCTTTGATGGGCCAGGAGGGCAAAAAGAAAAGAGAGTTTTGTTTTAATGAATTATTCACAGTAACATATTTTAATGGTGTGAGATCACCAAAGCACTTAAATCAGTGGTTAAAAATAGTTTCCTGATACCAACCCTTGTT